GCAAGAATTGCATGTTTTCAATGTGAAAAACATGCACAGTTTGATTCTAGACGTCAACCTAATTTTGGTGGATTTTCAGATATGGATGACTAGTTTGTAAAGTGTGATATTAAGAAAATTAAAAAAGATGCATATGAATGGCTTCTTTGCAAAACTGAGGATCAAAGAAAGAAACACCTTTCTGAAAACTTGGTGAGATAGTCAGAACTCTACTGTCTTCCTTATTTTAACCCAATTAAACATATAATTGTAGACCCAATGCATTGTTTATTTTTGGGAATTGCAAAGTGAATTGTTATACGACTTTGGATAGAAGGCGGAAAATTAAATACCGATGATCTAAAACTTATGGATAAAAGAGCAAAAAAATTACAACCTCTATCAGATATCGGGAGAATTCCTTACAAAATTGCTACAGGTAAAAGATTTTCTGGATATACAGCAGACCAGTGGCGGTTATTTATAATGATATATGCCACTGCTATTACTTGGAATTTATTAACAGAACCAGACCAACATATTTTTGCAAACTTTGTTAGAGCATGTAATCTGTTGGTCTGTAGAATATTAGACAAAGAATCACTTATCAAAGCTCATCAAAGATTATTAAATGTAGCAAAGCTAATAGAACAGAATTATGGTCCTGAAAAAATTACTCCTAATATCCATTTAAGTTTGCATTTGTGCGAAAATTGCATGGATTATGGACCATTATATTCATTTTGGTGTTTTTCTTTTGAACGTATGAATGGAGTCCTAGGTAGATATCGGGTGATTGTTATATATACAATATATTATATTATATAATAATATTAACCGGTAGATATAATTTATATTTTATAGGCTCATATAAGACCAGCCAAAGGAATATAGAACCAGAGCTTCTGAGAATTATTCTCACAAATAATTCTTTGGATGAAGTTGTATCAAATGCTGACATCGATGTCAGATTATCCGATTCTCTAACAATATTAAAAGGAAGAGTATCGGGTGTAGCATAGATATTTCAGATGAATTTGAAACACAGGATCTTCTTCAATTTTATAATTTAAGAAATATTATTAATTAGGGAGAAGCTTTTGGCTTCGAACCATTTCCTGGTACATTTCTTGGTCCAAAATCTGAAAATGCCATATTACTACTCGATATTCATAACCTTTTAGTCGGATTCTATAATAATGCAAAAATAGATTTTCAATTTACTGCTCCAGGAGATATTTTGGGAATTGAACAAATAGCTGTATTTTCCAAAATAATTCAATATGGCGATTAAAGTTGGGGTCAGAAATTTTTGGATCTACATTCTCAGCTCACCATATCAGATCCTCAAGAATTCTAGCAAGATTTGTTGCTTCAGAAGAT